TCTCCAAGAAATCATTCCTCAGTTTGGGATTCCTGCTTCCCTTCAGTCTGACAATGGTCCGGAATTCACCTCCCAGGTTTCCCAGACACTAACTAAGGCTCTTAACATTCCTTGGCATTTTCATATCCCATACCATCCTCAGTCCTCAGGAAAGGTGGAACATACCAACTAGTCTTTAAAAATCAATTCTTACTAAGATGTCACAGGAACTTCATCTCAACTGGGTAAGATCATTGCCTCTAGCTCTTCTCAGGCTCAGGGCTCTTCCTAAAAAGGCTCTTTCAATTTCTCCGTTTGAACTAATGTATGGAAGGCCGGTTCTAACACCAGGTCTTTTATCCAACCCTTCAACCATTCCAGAGAGCCTGTTAGCTCCCCTGCTATGTCACCTAAGGTCTGTCCTGTGGGACTTCACAGACCATTCCTTACCTCAGCCATGTGACAATTCTTGCCCACCTCCAATCCACATTGGGGACCAGGTTCTTCTTTCCCCTCCAGGCCAATGCCCTTCACCCCTTCCCCCTAAGTGGCAGGGACCCTTCAAGGTAATTCTTATGACTCCTATAGCTGCTAAACTCCAGGGCTTTCCTCACTGGGTCCACCTGTCTCATCTGAAACTTTTTATCTCACCTCCATCCCAGAAAAATCTCTCTTCATATACAGCAACACAGACAGGGCCCTGATCTCTCAAGCTCCAGAGGACATCAGGATCCACTGCCTTGTCACCAATTTCAGAGGAATGAGGTATCACCTCACAAGCTCTTCCTTCCCTAATTAGGGCCACACAGAGCCTGAGTCAAAAAGACCATCAAAAATATCCAGGTGGTCATGAAAAAAACAAAAAACAAAACAAAACAAAAATAAAAAACAAAAAACAGTAATAATCAAAAGGTATTTACACCCCCAGACGCAAAAGTGTCTGGGCTTTGCAAAAAACAGACTCTGATATAACAGTCTATCACTGTTGAATGCTCTCAGCAATTGATCACCTGTGTCTCCTGAATGCTAAACTAATAAAGGAAACAGATGCCTTAGATAAACTACCTCTAATAAAGCTTATATCAGGTAAAAAACAAACAAACAAACAAACAAAACTAAGCAGAGTACTAACCACCATAATTTTTCACTAATTTTCTCATGGCTGCTTCTTAACATGTTCAAAAATTTTCCCAAGCTCCAGAAACCAGCTTAAATCCATCTGGACAGGTCGGATCTACTTCAGATAAGTGCCATCTCCCCTGGTCTGGAAACACTCCAAATAAAATAAAATAATAATGATTCTTTTTTCTCTAAGTTTTTTCTGTGTCACCAGTATCCTGTCAGCCAAAATGTTCCCAGCCATAAAGGAACTCCAGGGCAAGGGACGACAGACAGCCTATCATCCCAGGACTTCAGAAGCTCCCCTCCCTATTCCCCCTAAGAGCCAACCAATGCCAACCAAGTCAGCTGGAAGCAGTTTTTTGGGAGAAATGACACCCCATACCCACTCATCTGCCATCTTTTATAAAAACAAAGAGTCTGGGATGATAGGAATTCCAACCACGCTCCCATGGTCGTGCATTCCTGGCAGGACACTTAGTCATCCCTGCCTAGTCATTTCCAGGTCATACATCCTGTGTAACCCATGCACCATCACACGGACATGACCACATGATCTATGCACATGTGTGGAATAGCCACGAGGGCCTGTGTGTACATGGGTGTGAGCTGGCCTTCAAAAGTCGGGCCCCATGTTCCCCCGCCCTCTTTCTCACACATGTTCTTCCACAGGCCTGATCACACCTGTCCCTTTCTCCTTGTCTTGATAAAACTCTTGTTAGTGGATTCTGTCGTGTTCTGTGACTTTTCCTTGGGGGTAAGAATGCCACTAAACAAACAAACAAACAAAAAAAACCCAACAAACAACAACAACAACAACAACAACAACAACAACAACAACAAAACACCAAATGTAGGCACTGGAGCTCTGATGGAAGTCAGGAGCCAAGGAATACCACAGTCCCCAGAACTCTGTTCTAGCAGAAGTGTTCCAGCTCTGCTCCACTAGGAGAAAGTTCCCCAGTGTTACAGTTCTGCTAAAGTTGTCAGAGCTGGTCTCCACTCCAGGGAAAGTGTCACAGTGCACAACAAACTTCACTCAAGAGATTTATTGGGAAGGAAAAATCCATGAGGGTGGCTGCCTCTAGGATGAGAAGCAGCAGCAAACTGAATAGAGTACAAATAGAGATTATATATTGTTGGAGAAAATTATTTTAAGATGTGTTGCATCTGTTTTTCTGTGAAACCTTTGTTTAATGATGCAAAGATGTGCTGCATTCTTTTATGTTGCATTTGTTTAACTCTGTGAGGCTGTGTTACTTTGCCTGTCTAAAACACCCAATGACCTAATAAAGAGCAGAAGAAAGGATAGCGGTGGGCAGAGAGAATAAATAGGAGAAATCTGAGAAAAGAGAAGAAATCATGAGAGAAGGAGGAGAGGAGGACTGCAGGGGCCAGCCACCCAGCCACCCAGCCACCCAGCCACCCAGCCACCCAGCCACCCAGCTATACAGCCAGACACGTAGTAAGAAGGAAAGAAAAGGTATACAAAAATAGAGAAAGGTAAAAGCCTAGAGGCAAAAGGTAGATGGGATAATTTATAGTTAAGGAAAGGTGGCTAGAAACAAGCCAAGCTAAAGGCCAGGCGTTTATAATTAAGAATAAGCCTCTGTGTGTGATTTATTTGGGAGCTAGGTGGCAGGTCCCCCAAAAGAGCAAACACAACCAACAACAATATAGGGCTTCTTTGAGGGCACTTTTCCAAGGGGCTTGGGCTTGGTGGGGTTTTGTGGCCTGATTCTGGGGCAAGCTCAGGGATTGGTGGGATTTCAATTCCTTGGTCCTTGTCTTTGGTCAAGTCAGGGTCAGGGTGTTTTTAACTTGACCCATTTTACCCCACAGATGGACCAATCCCACTTCCTGAGCCAGCTTCTCAGTGAACTCAGACATCACATGATAGTTACTAACATAATGTACATTACAAGTATCTAGCTCTTAGCAGATTTTGGCGGACTGAGGCCTCTGAGTCTCTACAGAGCTAGTGGGCTGTGCTACTGTGGAGACTGCTGCCTGGTCCTGTGGATCCTGTCTGCAGAGGTGGGATAAATGTTCTTAGGGCTGGTCCTGCTAGGTGGGATGGTGTAGGTGCTCAGCTCTGGGGTACCTTCTCTGGGCTGGCGGGTGCCTGGGAGCGCATCACTCAGGCCTCACCAAAATGGCAGTTTGCTGTGGCGACCCCAGCAGGAGGGAAGGTCTGCGGCAGGGCAGACCTCACGATATGCTGTAGGTTAGTCCTAGTGGGGCATGCCCTGTTCTCTTGGTGGGAAGCCAGTCAATCCATTCAGCCCCTCTAAGGTGAGCCTGTGGGAGGCACATTATGTAAGGTCATGAATGCAAGAAGAGGTTCATTGAAGGCCATCGTAGATCTCCCTGCCCCAGTCCCCAACAGTTTCCATTAACCTCCCATTTAAAGAATGTTCGCACCCCCCTGCTTCTCTCCCATAGAAGGGGACACAAATAGCCCACTGGGACTCTGTAATCTCCAGTTCTTATAACTGTGCGGAGATAGGGCCTTACTACATTTATAGACATATTTGTGACCTAGTCAAGATGAGGATACTTTCTGAGTTACTACATTTTAGTCACATCTTTTTTGAATTTTTTTTAACTTTTAAACTTGTGAAAGAAATATTCTTGGTTAATTCTATCTGCTTTTTTAGACTGTAGGCTTCCTGGGGACAATGTAAATTTTCTTTTATCACACTTTCATATCTTTTTAAAAAACATGTGCTAAGGCTGGAGAGACGGTTCAGTGGGTAAGAACACTTCCCACTCCATCAGAGGACCCAGTTTGGTTCCCAGCAACCACATGGTGGCTCACAACTGACTGTTAAATAGTTCCAGGAAACCCCATGCCTTCTCCTGGCCTCAAAAGGCATTAGGCATGCACATAGTGCACAGACATGCATGCCAGCAAAACACCCACACACATAGAATAAGATAAAAAAAATTAAAAAAAAAATACCCAGGCAGTGGTGGTGCACGCCTTTAATCCCAGCACTTTGGAAGCAGAGGCAGGTGGATCTCAGTGAGTTCAAGACTAGCCTGGTCTGCAGAGTGAGATCCAGGACAGCCAGGGCTGTTACACAGAGACCCTGTATCAAAAAACAAACAAACTGAAAGATCCCAGCATACTAGCTTAGCCTAACGCCATTTCAAGTAAGGTCTAAAAAGCGCAGGGTGTCTACAGCCGGCCTCCTGGCCCCAGAAAAGGGTACTAAAGGTCAGAAAAACAACTTGGAGCCAGGCAGCAGGCGTGTCAAGCTCGGGGAGAAACCACGAGCTGCCCTGAGTTTGAACCCGGCCTCATTTGAATCGTCCAATCAGAACCCTGTAAACCATGGGCTGCCCTGAGTTTGAACCCACCCTCCTCGTGCTCCTGCTGCCCGACCCTATAAAAACCCTCCGCTCCAGCCCGGGGGCGCGCCAGTCTCTTGAGCTTCTTGAGGGACTGTGTTGCCCCGGGTACCCGTGTTCCTGAATAAAGCCTCTTGCTGTTTGCATCTGACTTGTGGTCTCGTGTGATCTCTGGGCGAGGGTCTCTCCAGAGGGAAGACTGCCTTCGGGGGTCTTTCAAAACAAACAAACAAATAAATAAATGACCTCAGTATCACTAGCAACAGAAGCAGATCTATGGTAGGATGTCTTCAGTTCACATGAGTTTAATCACATCCTAGGCGGACTGAATACTGGTCAAGATCAACCATAAATAATGTACATCCCAACAAAATAAATAAATAAATAAAGCTGAGCAAAGTGATGAATATTAAGCTTCCTTTATATGTATCTATTTGACATGTGTATGGTTTTTTTTATAAAACTATTTTTTCATAAAATTTATACCTCCAAAAATGATACTTAAATTATTTATAGTGAATATGTAATACATTACATCACATAAGTAATACTTATCCATTTATTTTTATTCAGATGAAATAGAATTACAATTTCAAAGATAGATAATTTACTCTGGAAGATTATACGTTTTTGTGAGTGTCCCAAGTTCTATATTTAAGAAATTCCTGTTATTTCTTGTGAATTCATAAACCCCATGACACAACCATCAAGTAATTTATGGCTGCCATGCTATCTTAATGTGCTTTATTTGTGGAGGAGTCTTAAATTTCGGATCCCAGTTGTACTCTGGTGATAACACCCTAGTGGGCTTATTGATTAACAAATATTTATTTAGGTGGCTTTCATACGTGCTGTCAAGTTTATTTGTGCTGTCATCTGTAATTCCCTTTAGATATTGATTAATGAAAGCTAAGATGTTACTGGGTGTGCCACCAATAATGGCACTGTGGTAATAAAAGTCTCCCTCCCCAAAGGCGATAGAAGCTGCTGATTTAGCTCTCCTCTCATAAGGGAAATCTTTGGGTTTTTTAAAATACCACCATGCGTGGAGTTGAGCTACAGATTTGCCCAGGGTTTCAACTCCAAAGTCTTTCTTGAAGATCTGGTTCATAGCCATAATGAAGAGAAAGTTTACTTCATATTGGATGTGATGCATGATTTTACTTTTCATGGTCTTCATGTTTCTGGGAGTACAGTCTTGATAGTTATCACCATTAGGCAGCCTCAATGTTTTAAATGACCGAAGAGGACCCAACTCTAAGTACGGTTGATTGTAGATGTTATCAGTTGAGATGTAAAAGATAACATTGTAGCCAACCATGAAGTACTTATCAGCAGATTTTATGAAGTGTTTCAGGGACCGTTTTGTAAAGCTATGAAAAATGAAGAAAAAAAAAAAGAACGACTTCACTGAAATTCACCAGGAGATACATGCTGTTTAGCATGCCAATCAACACACATGCCACTGATGTTTAAGAAGATAAAGATAGAGAGGTTGGGTCTGTGCCTTCAGCTGCATTGGTTAGGGAAAGGAAATATAGTAAGCTTGGGGGCCTGAGAGAAGACGACATTTGTTATGAAGAAAAGGAAAGAGTCGCTATCCACAGCTACACAGGGCAGTCAGAAGGAAGGACAGGTTCTTAGGAAGTAGCGCTTTGGATAGAGACAGTCCGTGGCTGCTCCTCCTTAGTTCTCCAAAATGTAAAGGACAAATGCTAGCGGTGCATACTTTCCAGTCGCGAGGACAGCCAAGCCTATGGTGATGTTCAGTCTCTTGTAGTATTTGTCTAGAACTTGTCTGTTATAAGTTCCTTCCCATATGACCGGAGCGAGCCAATCAGTTGTTGCTATAACATCAGGACGTTTTCTATTGAACAAAAAAGAAGAAAAAACCAGCGGATTATCTTATTGTGACAGCAGAAGTTATGAGAGTGATAACAGCTAACTTAATACGTTTTTAACTTTTATTTTCCTCCTTTCTCTCCCCTGGGAAGATCTACAGCACTCCCCTTGTCAGTGACAGGGCTTGCCGTGAAAGCATGAAGACCTGGCTATGGGTCCCTAGAACCCACATCAAAAAATCTGGGCATGGTGCATACCAAGAGGGAGAGACAGGAGGATCCTTAGTACTCATTGACCACCCGCCCTTGCCCTCAGTGACCTCTATATTCATTGAGAAATTGTCTCATAAAATAAAGCAGAAACAGACTGAAGAAAATGTTGTGGAATAATAGTTTAAGATGTGTTACATTCATTTATGCTGTGGAACATTTGTTTAATGATACAAAGATGTGTTGCATTTGTTTAATCTGTGAAGCTGTTACTGTGCCTGCCTAAAACACATGATTCATCTAATAAAGAGCTGAACAACCAATAGCAAGCAGAAGAAAGGACAGGTGGGGCTGGCAGGAAGAGAAAACATATAGGAGGAAAAGTCTAAGCTCAAGAGAGGAAGGAGGAGCGAGAAAAGGAGAAAGAGAGGAGGATGCCAGGGCCAGCTTCCCAGCCACACAGCCAGCCATGGAGTAAGAAGGAAAGATACAGAATAAAGAAAGGTAAGAAGCCCAGAGGCAAAATGTAGTTAAAGAGAAACAGGATAATTTGAGTTGGAAAAGCTGGCTAGAAACAAGCCAAGCTAAGGCTGGGCATTGATAAATAAGAATAAGTCTCTGTGTATTTATTTGGAAGCTGTGTGGTGGGCCCTCAAAGAGAAAAAAAAAAAACAACTACTAAAAGACAATTTGGTATCAATCTCTGGCTTCTGCACACACATGCAAACACATGTGCATACACATGCACACATGTGCACACACATGCACACATGTGCACACACATGCACACTGTTCTCCATTCCCTTTTCAACTTTTCCTTTGTGCTTTAGGCACACAGATGCAATGTAGAAGAAAATGAACTAGAACAAAGAGAAAAGTACCAGACTTGTTTCTGATGAATAACCACATGATGGCAGCATTCATCATAATAATAATCTGTCTGAAGTCAAGGCATTAAATTAAAGCACATTAAGATACACCTCTTGGAAGGAATTGGACAAAAATGACATTGTAAATTTAAGTACTAATCTATATCTACACAAAGATGCAGTCTGGCAATCCTTACTACTGTATTAATAATAGTTATAAAAATCACATAACAACAAATTCTTTAAAAGTACACTAGTATGCCGGGCGGTGGTGGCGCACGCCTTTAATCCCAGCACTCGGGAGGCAGAGCCAGGCGGATCTCTGTGAGTTCGAGGCCAGCCTGGGCTACCAAGTGAGCTCCAGGAAAGGCTCAAAGCTACACAAGAGAAACCCTGTCTCGAAAAACCAAAAAAAAAAAAAAAAGTACACTAGTACTATTTTAAGGATTTTTTAAACTTACATATTCATTTATATAGTTATTTTAAATCTTCCTATACTGAAACTGTATAGGCATACACTTATATTTAAATCAAATTTGAAAACACACTTTAAAACTAACCTACTGAGGTGGTGGATGTAGCTCAGTTGGTAGAGTACTTGCTTAGCATGTGCTTGGGTTAGATTGACACTTAGGAGATAGGGGCAGGAGGATCAGGACTTCAGAGTCACCCTCAGCTACATGGTGAGTTCGAGGCCAGTGTGGGCTACATGAGATCCTATCAAAAAACAGAGTAAAACAAATCGAAAACTGACAGACTGCGCTTTTGTCACAGTGATGAGACATAAATGAGGTATGCTGCATATGCCAATGGAATCCGAGTTGAGCGTGGATCACACTTCCCACTGTTGTTTTATCTCATTTTATTTTCTGGTAGTGTTGGTGTTTAAACCTAGGACCTCATGCGTGCTAGGCAAGTGTTCTACCATGGTGCTTCAAAAGAACACCACTATTATTTTAAGGAGTCTTTAACTTATATATTTATTTATATAGCTATATATAAATATAACCTCAGCCTTACACAATCTATTTGAGAAGATTAGAAGATTTCAAGATTACTGTTTTTTCTCAATAAATCAGATTATTATCATTATTTGCCAGAATGAAAGGAAAAGATTCTCTTAAAGACCCGTGCTAAGAAACTGCTGGGTGAGGGGAGAGCTCAGCAGAAGGTTCTTCCGTAAAGCACAAGGCCCTGCGTCTCAGCACCCAGCACCCGTGTGAAAAGCTGGACACTGGCTGAAGAGAGAGCTGAGCAGTGCTGCTCTTGCAGAGGACACTGCTTGAGTTCCCAGCACCCACGGGTGGTGGCTCACAGTCCCCTTAGCTCTGGTTCCAGGAGCTCCATTGCCACTTTCTGGTTCTCATCGGTTCCTGCACACACAAACTCATGCAGGCAAACTCAGGTGGGGTGTGTGTGTTTTAAGCTGGGCATTGTGGTGCATGCCTTTACCCAGCAGTGAGGTGAGAGACAGGAGGACCCCAGGGTGGAAGGGCCAGCCAGCCTAGCCAGGTGCAGTGAGAGAACCTGTCTGAAAACAAAAGGTGATGGTGCTAAAGGAAGACATCCAGTGTCTCCGCCTCCACACACATGCGCACCCGTGAACGCGCACACACACACACACACACACACACACACACACACACACACACACACACACACATAATTAAAATAATGCCTTAACATTTTAAAATATGACATTGCTTAGCAGAAGGCAAAACAGAAGAGCAGATGCAAAGGGGCTCGGCAGCCAGTGAGCGACACACCAGGTCCTCTGGATGTCGTCAGGACGCGTTTGCCTTAGTGCATCTGTGCCCAGAGCGGCCCCAGCCACAGAAACAGAGATCATGCATCGCTAAACAGTGTGGCCATCCCGTAGTAAGGTGGAACTCGGGCAGGCACGGAGTGCCCAGTGTCATACACCTTGCCTAACTGAAAAGGCAGTGAATTTTATGGTGAAATGTGGTGACAGTTGGTTCATTTCCATCACAGCCTCTGTCCTTACTATCATCTGTCTGTCCAGAAGCAGCTAGCCCACCAGACAGTAGGAGAGTCCACAGAAGTCTTCATTTCAGGACAAGCTGGGCGCCAATTCTCTACAAGGTTGAGGTACTACCCCTGGGGTGCTCTGAATCTGTGAGCAGTTTCTTCAGATGGTATGTTTTCCAAAGCTGAAGTACATAGTCCCTAAGGGTGCGTGGATATGGGAAAGTGTCTGGCTCTTGATTACATTAGATAATTCATTTATAAGTGTTTGGCTCTCTATGTTTATAGCATTTTGTGACCTTCGATTCCATGGATTGGGAGACGCTAGTTCACAAGGGAGGAATCCCTCGGGGAACAAAGCCATGGTTCCATAAAAGCACTTATAGGTCATCTGAGTTTTCTCAACTGAAGAATCAAACAGTAAAAATATTGTTACTCTCCTGGCTGGGCAAATGATTCTCATTCCCAAGGAAACACAAGTTGTTATTGCCAAGATGACAGCAAAGAGAACTGCTTTGCACAGAACAAGAAGAACTCTCTGGGATGCTCTCTACTGTTCTTATGTCCAGCAATAATGGTCATTGGGAGAGTGTGGCACTCAACAGGACTGCACCACCAAGGGCTGGGAGCACCGGGAAAGGAGGTAGTCAGAACAGGGCCAACAGCGTATCAGTAGAAGATAAGGAAGCCACGGATCTGATTGTTATCTACTGTTTACTGTCCATCTCCCTAATGGCTGCTGTGGCAGGACTGTGGCAGCGATTTATTGTGTAGACTGTTTTATTTTCTCCTCTTTCTCTGCTACTTTGTAGGGTGAGTGTTGGGCATGGCTAATGTGGCTGGACTGTCATCATCTTGTGATGATGCAATTGTGGAACTTTATGTTTATCCTGTTTGGAGACATGAGCTTTTTCATGTAAGTGAAGGTCTTGAGAAACAATGCCAGTTTGTAGAAGACAGGGTTGTGCTAGTTATTTTCCATTTATCTTTTTATCCATTCTCCACTCTGGGAGTAGATTGGTTACCCAATGTCCTTTGAGCTGTGGCTTCTAGTAGGTTCTACAAATGAGAAGAATCAAAAAAGGATCAGAGGGCAGGAAGGGAGAGAGGTCAGCTACCTGCCTTTTTCTTTTCCAGTTTTGTTGGACAGCTGTGTCCCTCTGTGACTACTGCTTGGGACGGCTCCTCTTTCATGGTTCTGACAATCCCTGATCTCTTATAAAACCACCCCTCCCGTTGCTCCTCTAGGCCTGGGTGTGGTCACAGCCAAAAATGAAATATTTGACAAAACTAATGTCAAGTAAATATATAAAATTAGTAAAACATTACTAGTATTTACCCACTATAGATAGGAAAATAAAAGGTATAATGCTTCAATGCAATTGAGTAGCCTACATCAAAATTTAAATTTGTATCTTTTAATTACTTATTTTAATTTCCTAAGTGTATTTTGTCTACATGTATATATGTGTACCACATGCATGCCTGGTCTGCACAGAGGCCACAAAAGGGCATGTGATTCCCTGGAACTGGAGTTACACGTGGCTGTGAGCTGCCTGTAGGCGCTGGGACTCCATCCCAGGCCCTCTGCAAGAGCAAGAAGCACTGTTGACTGCTGAGGCATCTCTCCAGTCCCTAGTTAGCTGTTTTTATTTTCCTTTGGTATGTTTGTGTGATGTGCATGCATGTGTGTATGCATGTTTACATGTATGTGGGTGTGTGTCTGTGTGTGTGCAGTAGAGGCTAGAGATCGGCATGGGGTGTCTCCTCAGTTGTTCTCCACCTTATGTATTGAAGCCGTCTCTCACTTGAATCCAGAGCTTACTGATTAGGTGAGTTTAGCTAGACAGCTTGCTCTAGAGATGCCCCAGCTCCACTTTCCGAGCACAGGGACAGCAGGCGGGTTACCACACACACCAGTATTTACGCGAATGCTGGAGATCCAAACTCTGGTCCTCATGCTTAGGCAGCATCCAGTGTACCACACAGAACCAACGTCCCAGGCTTTTAAACAGTGAGTGACTCCATGTGGGAAATCCATACTCTTCCATCACACAGACAGACAGACAGACAGACAGACAGACACACACACACACACACACACACACACTTGTTGGAATATAATAGCACCTAGATGGCAAATATCACAGAATGTCAGTGAAATGCATTATGAACATTTTATAAACATGTTTACACTATATAAACATAACATTGTAAGCCAATACAAGAAAATAATGGTGTCCCCAAAGTGTTAATGCCAAATGAGGGTAGTAGGAAGAACTGACACCAGCAAGACAGGATATATGTATACATGGGAAGGTCACAGTGGAACCTATTCATTTATGTAATTAATATGCTAATTATAGTGATAATAAATTAAAATTAGAAGAGTCAATATTGGCATTTTTAGGTTGCACCTAAAGCCATTTTCTCCCTAATAATACCAGAATGTTAAGCCAGATTGAATTTGACAACTTTCTTCACTGCATAATTCTTAAAAAGTAGACCATAAGGCCGGGCGTTGGTGGCGCACGCCTTTAATCCCAGCACTCGGGAGGCAGAGCCAGGCGGATCTCTGTGAGTTCGAGGCCAGCCTGGGCTACCAAGTGAGCTCCAGGAAAGGCGCAAAGCTACACGGAGAAACCCTGTCTCGAAAAACCAAAAAAAAAAAAAAAAAAAAAGTAGACCATAAACAGGTGAAAAAAGTCTTCAAAGTAAAAAGTCTTAGAAACAAATGAGAACTCGGTTCTAGTGTCTCTAGCACCTACAATTTGGTAACAGAATATCATTTTCTTAAAATTGAGTTACACTATTGTTTTGTTCTTACTTAGGATTAAACCAGGCTGAGAGCGGAGGTTCTTCCAAATGATCATTCCTAGGTACAAAGAGAAAACGCACATCAGTGTAGTCAGAAGGCTTCTCCGGGCTTGCCTGGCCCCAGTGTCCCACAGCTGCTTACAAAATAACCATTCAGAGGCTTAATATTAATTACAAATTGCATGGCCTATGGCAGGTTTCTTACTAGCCAGCTCTTATGATTTGCCCTATTTCTATTCATCTATAAGTCACCACGTGGTCGTGGCTTACTGGTATTTTCACATCTTGCTTCTCCTGGAGGTGCTGGTGTCTGTCTCTCTTCACTCTGCCTTTCTTCTTCCTGTCTCTCCAATTTCCTGCCTAGTTATAACCTTGCCATAGGCCAAACAGCTTTATTTATCAACCAATCAGAGCAACACATATTCACAGTGTACAGAAAGACATCCCACAGCACTTCCCCTTTTCTGTCTAATCAAAAAGGAAGGTTTTAACTTTAACACAGTAAAATGACATATAATAGAACAGTTATCAAGCAAGAATTACAGTTATAAGAGCTAGTCTATTTATATTTGGTACACTTAAAGAAAATATTTTATCATCTATGCTATATTTGTGAGGCTAAAGTTTCATATATAATTTGTCTTTTATCATGACTAAGGAAAACTATAATTATAACTATCTAGTCTTCAACTACATCAAAGACCTCAGAAGGATATAATATTACCTAAGTAAATAGGAAGAACATTGTAAGCATCTTCCAAAAATCTAGAAACGACAGACACAGCTGGCTGCCTGACAGTCATCCAAAGTTCCTCTGTAACGTTGGGGCATCCATCTTCAGCCTATAGACCTAGAGTCTCTCAGTCACTTCTCTCTGTGTCCTGTAGAATGTCTGGCAGTCTCCTCTGTGAAGCAGGAACCTGAAGGACTATTTCACCTTGTTTTGACAAATTCAGTGGTCATTTTTTCATGGGTCCTGCATGTCCAGTCTATACAACATTTTGTCAATCAGTCCAGGCAAGAACAGTTTCTTGGGCAGGCAGTGGTGGCGCACGCCTTTAATCCCAACACTCAGGGAGACAGAGGCAGGTGGATCTCTCTGTAAGTTCGAGGCCAGCCTGGTCTCCAAAAGAAATGAGTTCCAGGAAAGGCACAAAACTACACAGAGAAACCCTGTCTTAAAAAAACCAAAAAATAAATAAAAAATAAAATAAAATAAAAATTAAAAAAAGAACAGTTTCTTATCCAAATGGCCAGTTTTTGCCAAGAAGAAGATAAACTCCATATGGAGTGTCTTTGATGCCCATTTTTCTCTTTGAAGTAAATTGGTATTGGCAGGAGCAGACATGTTTCACTGTCTAGAAAGTCTAAGTTTTTTAAAACATTTTAAATGCCATATTCTGTAGGTCTTTGAAGTGTTTGAAGATTACCTACTTAACTGAAATATATCTATGTATACCTAGAAAATTTAACTAACATAACTGTAAGTTTGATTATCATGGGTGACTAATTATTAATCTGTATTTCTTAATTATACATTACAATTTCAAATGAGCTACACAAATATAATACCTTAAACAAGAGTAAAAATATACATACAGTATAACAAAATTAACTTTAAATTTATATCAAGAAACTAAAATCTATAGCAATGTAAAACATTTTAAACAAGTTGTTGCTCTTCAAAGGTAGATTCAGTGATCTACCCTTTTATCCTATCATATCTATACTATCCTCTTTTCTTCTTTAGAAAGAGGTTGTATTTATAATCAACCCCCTTTAAATAAAAATAAATATTTATAAACAATATTTTGGGAATTTATGCATAGTTTCTCATACTAGTTTTTGTTGGATGGGGGCATTGTCAATCTTATGGGGATCCTGAGAAAACTAAGAATTATGGCCAAGTCCTGACTGGAGTAGTCTGTGAGGCTGTATTGTCTGAGACAGTTGCCTTGAAGCTGTTTTGGATGTTGGAACATCTGGAGACCTCTCAGGGGGTCTTCCTTGATCAAGCCATACTAGCTTGGAAGCAATCCATAGGTTCTCATCTTCTGTGGAAACAAAGGCAGAACCTCTTTTCCAAAGCAACATATCCTTAGACACAAATTTTGAAGTCAAGATACCTTTAAATATATATATATATATATATATATATATATATATATATATATATATATATATATATATA